TCTTTCTTTCTCTTTACTCTTGAGTATGTTGAAAAGATAACACATTAGCCTGAATTCTGACAGACTTCCAGACAATGGGAAACTTCTTCCTAAGTGAAGTTGAAGACCTGTGTTTCACAGTTAGCCTCCAGTTCTGTGTGTTTAGTGGGCCAGACATGTTCAGGCCTGCCAAGTTGTGTGAGTTTGGCTTGGCTGGGATGTGCTTTCCTGGCCTCGCCTCTGGGTCCTGTGATACACAGAGAACCTGTCTCCCCTGTGTGATGGAGCTGTCATTAAAATGAGTTGGAGTCACTTGGTAAATATGGAAAGTGAGGTAGCTTAGCTCCCAGATTTCCATGGCAACCCCCAGAACAAGTACAATATAACCTAAATTATTCTGTGGTTTTCCTTTTTTAGTTGCAATGATTTGGTTGCATACTCATGTTTTTCCACTCCTGATTTGTACAGAAAGTGAAAATGCTACCCACTGTTAGCAACACTTTGGTTTGGAAGACATTATTGGTCCTTCTCTGAAGCACCTGAAGAATTCAGTCAAACTCCCTCTTTCTATTCCAGCAAAAAAATCATTGATTGCATATTATTCTCATATTTATTATTTCTGTTCCATCTAGCTTTGTATATGTGATGCATGGGGTAGGCACCAGAAAGGTGGAGTACACATTAACCTCACCAAGTCACTTTAATGGATACTTAGAGACCAGCAGTACCTGCCCTGGAGCACTTTGCATCCCTAAGGAGCAACTTCACGAGCAGTTTGTCAATACTTTAAAGTATAAGCTCATGAAAGCACCCAGCACATTACTGCTACATTTTATAATGACTTAGGGATTTACTTTATCATTTCCTTGTTTTTATGTTTTAATATTTTGCTTTTATTTTTGACTAATATAAAGAGATATTCTTGTTGACAAACAAGTTTGAGAAAGGCCAGCTTTCCCACTGATGGCAGCCTGTGCCGAACATTCCTCAGTAGGACATTATTTTTCTTTTTGTCATTTAATTGGTCACTATGGTCTTGATTTGACTCATAGCTGGTTGTTGTATTTTTTTGAAGTCCACTAACCTGTAATTTTTTTTTCCTCTAGCAGCATAATTGCCATCAGTCCTTCCTATACCTTCTAATGAGGATGCCAGAGTTGGACTGATTCATCAGTGACTCAGTGAAGTCCAGCTCCATTATTGGAAAGATACAGTTTATTTTTATTTAAAAATCCTCTGAGCTGCCTGTTCTCAGGCTTTTCTGTTAGGAACAGGTACTTATTTGCCTTCAGAGGAAAAAAAAATCCTCCTAATTTGAATGACAAAACTGAATCATTTTCTCTTTATTTCTCTCTCTCTCTTTTTTAAAATCTTTTATTGATTTACTTATATTTTCAGTACAGGGTCTCTCTGTGCAGCTCGGACTCATAGTGATTCTCCTGTCTCAGCCGCCCCAGCACTGGGATTACAGGTGTGCGCCACCATGCCTGGTTTCGATGGTTGGCACGGTGGCCCAGCATGGCATGCACTACCAACGATCAAACCTAAGTCCTTGTGCTTTCCAGGCAGGTGCTTTGACTGCTGAGCTATCTCCCCAACCCCTACTTTTTATCTCTTAATTTATTCTAAATTCTTAAGTATTTGTCTTGGTAGCATTTGCCATAAATATTAGAATGTTCAGTTTGCTTCCTGTCGTATTCTTCACCCCTTCTTTGAAGTAATTCTTACTATCTCACTCCATTGCTGTTGGAACTGTCAGCATCTCTGCTTAGATCTTCCACCTAGGGTTTTTGTCTTACTTGCTAAGATCACAGATGATGAGACTTTCCCTACCTGTCTCAGTTATTCTTCTCTCGTTGTTGGGACAAACACCAGACACCCAAAATGAAGGGAGGAAAGGTTTATTTAGCTCACAGTTACTGGAGGTTTCAGTCCATACTCAGCTGGCTCCACGGCAGAGTGACACAGGGCAGGGGAGCAGCCTTTCATGGTGGCAGCAAAGAGCTGAGAGCAAAAGGAGTGGCAGCAGCTCAGGCAGCCAGCCTGCCTCTCTGCCCCTTACATTGTAATGCAAATTACCAGCCCCAGGATAGATGTAGCACCCACACCCACAATGATTGATCACAAACTCCAGAAGCTGCCCATGACTGGGTGAGGCTTTTGGAAGATGACTAGACACAAACCATAACACAAACTCTAGTTATCGATAGTCAGGAAGTGCCAGGTTTGTGGATTTCCTTGTCATATGACCTGTCAAGGGCTGCCAATGAAAAGCTGCCTCTTAGGATGCGTATTTGACAATCTTGACTATCAAATTGTGAAATTTTATAATACATATTTTTGTATGTTCTTCTTGGACAAATAAGTCCTTTCTATGATCTCTTGTTTGGGCAGTTATATTACAGGTTAGGTATCTGTGAAGGAATATTTTAAACTTTATTTATTGAAAAAAGAATACAAATGTCCAATAGTAAATGAAACACTAGAAATCTACAAGCTGTACTTGGGTGCGGGCACTTGCTGTATTCTGTTGGCTTCCCCAGCCCATAGAGCGTCTGGGCCTTGCTTTCTACCAGCTCCCTCTTTCTCTAGCAGGTTTAGTATAGACGGACATGCTGTGTGCCATTTGCCGATGCTTTCCCTATTAGGTCATAGAGTTAGCCAGTTTTTAATACTGTAGTAGTAGATATGTTCTTTGAAATACTATCTAAATCCAGTTTTTGGACTCAGTTGACAAACTCGGCTTGTGATAACATATTTTATAAAGCAAAACATCTTTGTATGATGTTACTTTAAATTTAGTTTCAGAGTTTTGTCTTAAATTACTTGTAGTCCACTGAAAATACACAAATATATGCAAATTGATAATACGCAAGTATATTTATAAATAAAATACCCAGAAAATTATATAGAAGTGTTTTAACTGTCTGGTATCCTTGTTTGGTATTCACCGGGTTCTCAATAAACATTAATGGAATCAATGAAAATTGAGGAAGTTTCATTTCAGATGTTTATCCTTTCTAATAATAATAGGGAGGGGAAAATGTTCTGACAACATTTTAGAAAAACTAGTATACTTTTTAACAATGTGTTATTTTAGATTTGTAAGCTCATAACCCTCTCACAGACAAGTGAGTATAATCATAGGTGGTATGTGAACTATAGTTATTCTCTTGTGTTTCCTGAGGAGTCAGAAAATTATATCATGCAGAGTTGGCCCTTCAAGCTGCATGAACTGGAATCAGTAACACTATTCATCTCCTTTCCCCTGTGAAGCAGAACCTGTCCTCAGCTGAAGGCCAGAGAACAGTTGTCTTCACTCTTCTTCTTCGTGCGGCTCTACTTTGAGTGCTTTTCTATTTTTCAGGAATCTTGGTAGGAATATTTTGTGTGAAGGAAACTAATGAGGAATTTTTTGAAATTTATTCCTCTTGCTAGTGGCAAGCCCTGGTTTACAGGCTGTGTTAGTCTTCCTGCTCAAAATAATATAGTTTCTATTTTCGTCTGGTTGTTTCTGCTTGAAATTTAAACCCTTGAATTATGACTAGCTCTGAATTTCAATAATAACTCTCTAGTAATATACTGCATTTTTTCCCCAAATCTGCATAGAGTTAAGAAAATCTCCTAGTAACCTCTGAGGATTTTTATATCTTCTTTGGGGCTTTTTACAGAGAACTAAAAATTTGCTAAGATATTAGGAGGCATTATAGTATGAGTATGTATATTTAATGTGAAGATTATTCTGATGTCATTCCATAAGCCTAATTTCTTTCGTAGACCTGACTAGTGTAAAAGAGGAAAGTGTTTCTTATGACATCACCTTTATTGGCTAAAGAGAATTCAATTGTCAACCTGTTGACCATGTCAATGATGCAAATCTGTCCTCCTAGGAATAGACAATCTCTCTAATGCTCATCTAAAAAAGGCCCTAAAACTTAACCCACATTTATTTCTTGACAAGTGAAACAAGCACCAGAAACACGCATGGATTTCAGTGGTATGTCTACAATGAATGAGGATGAAGTCTGTAATACTGTCCTACAACGGTGGTGCCCATGCCATGTAACTAAGTCGTCCCCCAAATGTTTTCCCAGTGTATGGTTCCAAGTTTTTGAAGACCAGAACAGACAGAAAGTTCTCTTCTTTGAGCAGTATTCTGAAGTTTACAACACACATTCCTGCGTATGATCCCACTTGATCCTCACAACAGTTCCACAGGCTGTGCTAAGTAGCTCTCCTCCCCATTCCGCAGATTCATTAACCAAGAATCAGAGAACAAGCAGAGATTGCCTGAGGCCGCACACCCAATCAGAGATGGATTCTTAAAGAGAACTCAGGTTTTCTCCTACCTGGCTTTCTAAGATTCTCCAAGCATGGGTGTGACTGCTTGGACCACTGACTCAGTTGTTTGTTTTGTATATGCAGACTACTGTAGCCTATTACAGTTCTATCACAGAATTAACATGAAGTAAGTCATCAAATACATGAAGCTAGAGCCAAGACAAGTATGTGTGTGGGATGGGGTCAGTAATTTAGTGTTTAAATCACAAGGAGGTTAATGGCCAAATAAAGAGATTCTATGATGAACTGTAGGTAGTTCATAGCACGGGAAATGTTAGAGGCCAGATTTTTATAGAAGGTGAGTGTCACAGAAGCCAGAGGGATATGGCTGAAAGTAAGCACTCAGTAAAGGCTGCTCGGTGTTTGGAGCATCCACTAAAAGATGGCAGAACTTCTGGTGCAATGGTAGGACCATGCCTAGAAAAGGGATGGCTCCAAGGGTGGTTCTGTTACACAGAACACATACCCTGTGAGCAGGGAGAAGAGGTTTTTCCTCTAAAATTTCTTGTCACCTATTCCCTTTTAACTCTTTGTTTCCCCCTGCTGATTATTATTAGTTCCTGTGTTTTTTAAGTTTTAGAAATCTCAACCACGCCTCATTATTTATAATTTTATGTCAGAACAAACTGTCATCACTATGTAGTAATAATACAGGGCTTTGTGGTCTTTTTCCCCACCAGAGGAGCAAAGGAACAGCATCATCAACTCCAGTTTGGAATCTGTCTCATCCAATACAAACAGCATCCTTAATTCCAGCAGCAGCTTGCAACCCAATATGAACTCCAGCGACCCAGACCTGGATGTGGTCAAACCCACCCGGCCCAACTCACTGTAAGTATGCCATCCAGCTGCCTAGGGTCTCAGTCAGCCAGTCTTCGAGAATCTACTCTTTTGTCCCATGGTTGTGATGTAAACTTCTCCTCAAACTTGGAGCTTGGCTGGCTTGCTGTGGAGTTTTTAAGCTTCATCATCTCAAAGGGGAGTCACTATTATTAACATGCTGCTGCTTAGCATTGGTCATCTTTGATTTACTGTCCTGCTGAGATGGCTTTGGTGATGGCTACTGCCTGGGCTGGCTGCTGGGCATGAAAAGCAAACTCTTTTAGTTTCACAAACACCAGAGACTGGTAGCTTAGTAGATCAGTAGCCAAGTCTATTGAACTTTTTTATGTGGTCTCAGTTTCTCTTTGTCCTGACAGTGTTAGAAATGCTCACTGCTACCTCTGTGCCTCTCTAGCCTTAGAGAGAGGCCCATTACCTTTTGTGCCTTTGGATTCTCAAACCTTAGTGTGACTGTGATCTCTCACTGGAAACCGAAAAAGAGCTTTCGTTACTTCACTTTGGACCCTGAGTAACTTTTGCCAAAATAGGCTGTTTGGGGACTGGTTGTCCAATCCCCCCTTCAGAAACTATTCTAAAAGAACCAGAAAGTTCTCCCTTGTGGTTCCAGCCTACATTGTTGAGCATGCTTCTTCAAGCCACACAATAAATCTTGTCAGCTAGAGCCTTTGCCAGAAGAATGTTGAGGCCATGACCAGAACAACTGGACTCAGGCTACAGCTGTATAAGAGTCAGAAAAAAAGTGTTGATTTTGCCTTTCTCTAGGGAAAATAGTTTGAAGTTCAGCCACAGACTGTCTTCAGCAATCGCTTCACTTGGCGAGACCCCAGCATGAGGGTGAGGTACAAGGAAGGCAGCAACCTTCACTGTCCCTCTGTATGCTGTGGCCTTGTGCTCATGCCTTCCTGTTCCTTGTCTTTAAGGTGCAGCATTTATCTATCTATAAAATGGGACTAATAATTTTTGCCTTATAGCAAACAAAGGGGTATTAAATGTTCAGGAGGAAAAAATTCTCGAAAATAGATATAAGAGATACTTACAATGAAAACATAGTTCCAATGTAAGATGAAATCTTAAAAGTATGGGGAAATCAAATCTTTTTTTAGTTCTTGACAGTTTTTAAATTGCACCAGCATTTAAGAAGTTTGACTGCTTGCCCATTATTTCATGGATAATGCTTTAGTTCACCAAGAAGTAGACTAGTTCCTGAAGAGCTCAGAATAGTTGAGTGTGTCTAGCTTGTGGGCAGTAAGGCTCTGCAGGATGTTCATTGACAGATTTGCCTACAAAGCCTCCTGCCCTTGCCAAAAGCAATCTCAAGCTCTCTTACACCTGCTTTCCTGGACTTTAAGGAAATTCTTTTTTTGCCCCTTCAATTTGGTTGAAGTCTTCCAGCCCAACAGTTGCTAAAGTTACTTGTTGCTTGGCATGAGTAGAGTTGAACTCACAGACCACGTTGCTTCATATTTCCTGATATTAGCCAACCGGTACCAACCAGTGGTCTTTAATCTTTGCTTTTAGCAGCTGTTTGCTGTGGGCCCCTGAGTCACTGCTGAGAACAGTGTGTCCCAAGAAGTTGTTTAGGCAACTAAGTGAAGGTTGGGGGGAGGGTATCTTTTCAACAGGTCCTGGAGGAGGAGCCTTGAATTTTATTTTTTTAGTGGCTTCATATGATTTTTTTTTTTTTTTGTGTGTGTGTGTGTGTGTATCATACTGAGGATCACTGCTCACTTTACCTGGCACAGGCTTGGGGGCTTTTCCAGGAAGGGAAGGAGGTGGTGGGAATACTTCTACTTATTGTGGGTTGCTTCCAGCAAGACTGCTACTGCTGTTCCCCAGCTGAGTGAGTCTGACCTATACCTATGAGTCTCAGGGTCAGGAAGGGCTGCACTTGAGGTTGAGCTAGATGTGACACCAGAACCAGAACTAGCATTTGTCTTGTGCTACAGTGAGCTACAGGCTAAAGCCTTCATAAATTTTGTTAACAGGTTCCTTAGTCATTTATAAAATCTAAGGCATTTTTCTAGGTTCTATCTGCCTCAGTATTTTCTGCCTGTAGATTATGATGGGAGTTAGGCAGTCCTGACAGAATAAAAGTCCTAGCACCTTCTCTGAGAAAATTAATCCCGAGAGACCCATGAGCACATTGTGCTGTGGTGATCGGGCTCAGTTGTACTAAATGAGATCTTAGTACTGGATCCATTCACTCTGCCTGCCATTGTTCAGTTTGAGTGCACACTGAATCTTAAATGGGAATACTTGAGATAGGTGGAAAACAAAGGCGTAGATAGAGGGCTGCCATTAGCCATTAGGCATGAAGTAAGGAACCAGTAACCAGGAAACTACCTATTATTTTTACTTTATAGGTTATTTTTCATGGGGAAAGACACTTTGTTCTATCATTGGTAAATCTTTTCGTAATTCTTCTAGGACAGTGATGAGGAACCTTTTAGAGCTTTCAGTGATACAAATAGCCAGCTGTAGCACATGTGCCATAGGTTTGCCACCACTATTTCAGGAAATTAGGTCCCTCTTGTTTACATGAGCATAAAGCTAAATCAGGCAGCAAAATCATAGTGCTGCTTTTTTTATCTTTACCATGGCAAGGCTGCTGTGTTTAAATCTTTGGTAGGTCCTCATCTAGACTCCAGGAATAGACTCTGCTCTGAAAGATCGAGGGACAGTTGGTAAGCCAGGACCAAAGTCTGTGTGGTCTGAAATTGTCAATATCTTTTGTGTATACATCTGTGCTAAGTTTCATTGGATAAAACAGCAAAAGGCAATTCCTGCCCTCCCTCAGTTGATAGTCTGGCTGAGGAAAGACACTGGCACAGAGCAGTGCTGGATGGGTCCTGCAGTTCATCACTGTGTTCAGAATTCAACACTAACTGATATCTGTGAGTACACATACTGAGAGTCAGAGTACTGGACCAAGTGAGGTGGGACAAGTGTGAGGTGAGTGGAGGGAAGATTTAGATGGGGGAGTGAAGAGCATTCCAGGTAAGGGAGTGAGGAAGTAGGAATGACCCAGTATAGATACATGAAGCCTACAGCCCTGTGTATTAGGGGAGGGACCTCTAGTTTCTCCACCATCATTACTATCAGAAAACCAAAAAAAAAAAAAAAAGAAAGAAAGAAACAACCTTTGAAATAAAAAAAAATTCATACACAATTCCAGATTTCAAGCTGAAACAACTAGATGTTCACTTGCAAGCATATGAATCTAGAAATGGACTGTATACTTCTTATCAAAACTCATTCCAAATTATCTAAATGTACATTTGAAAGTATTAAAGCTATAGATGATGTATGATAAAATCTAAGTGATCTTGGGTGTAGTAACTTTAGATACAACACCAAAAGCATAACCTATGAAACAACAGCAAAAACAAAACCTGTTAAATTGGATGTCATTTAAATTAAAACTTCTACTCTGTGAAAGGAACTGCTAAATTAATAAAATGATAAAACACAACCTAAAAGAAAATGTATATAAAACACATATCTAGTAAGGGGCCAGTATCTAAGATGTACAAAGAACACATAACATTCAACAATAAATAAAATGACAGCATGCTTAAAATATGAGCAAGAAATATGAATAGATACCTCAGTGAAGAGATTCACAGGGCAAATAAGTATATGGAAAGATGTTTCACATCCCATGTCACCAAAGAAATTAAAATTAAAACAGTGAGAGGTACCATTACACACCTGTTGGCCAAATCCAGGACACTGACAATAGCAAACATTGGTGAGGATGCTCTTACTCTCAACTCCTGGGAAAACAAAGTGTAGCCTCTTTAGTGAATCATTTGGTTATTGTTTTACAAAATTAAACCTACTTTTAGGCTCCAATCCAGTGGTCATGCTCCTTGATATTTACCCGAACAATCTGATAATTTGTGGCCACACACAAACATCCACATAGATTTTTTTCGGTAACTTTATTCATAATTATTGAAAAATTACTGTGAAAAGTACAAAACTTGTGTTATGAAAAGATCAGAGGTGACCAGGGATTCAAAGAGGAGGGAAGAGAGATGAACGCTTAGAACACAGAGGTTTTTGTATGGCTATGAATGTGAACTGTGGTCCTTAGTTAATAATAATATATCAATGTTGGGTTATTAGTTGTAACAATAATAATTGGAGGACATTAATAATTGGAGAGAGGAGGCTATATGGAAACTTACTTTGCATAATTTTTCTGTGAAACCAAAATTACTATAAAAAGTAGTTATTAAAATCCAGATTTCCAGCTTCTTTTGAAAGGTAAAAGATTCGGCTTTGTGGAAGCTATATATTACATGTAGCAGAAACACAAGCCAGTGAGGGTAAAGATGTTCAGTCCCCACCCTGGCTGGCCTGTGTTTTTCCTTTAAGCCTTTTCCCTGCAGTAGATTGAATACAGCCCAGAGTCTTTGGGGGCACCTCCTATTAAGACCTAGAGCCCTTGAATCTAGGTTGGCCTTCATACTTGGACTTCATTTAGCCAGTAGAATCTGACAGGAGTGACATCATATGACTTGCCATCGCTAGTACAGTGCTTCGTAGTTTCTTCTCTTGACCCATGGAACACAGCTGCCATGTACAGAAGCCTGTTTGAGCCTCCTGGAAAGGGAGCCCAGCACTCTCACCCAAGCCTACCCCTTAGGAATCCAGTTCGTTGAACACAACATGGGTTAAAAGCTGCCCAACCAGCCCATGGACTCATGATAAGTCATACACTGAGTGAGAGTAGTTTAATACACAGCTAAAGGAGACAAGGCCTATGGGAAGTCATGGGCAGCTGCCAGGGGATGGGGCTGAGCTGCCTAGGTATAACAGAAAGGTATGGTAAGTTCTCTCTGCAGCACAGAGCCACGTGGGAGTGTGTCTTTCAGTTTTCAGAATCTTCTTTGAAAGAAAATGACTCATAACCGAGATTCTAAGAAATTAAGAAACAAAACAAAATCCCTAGCTAATGGCTGTGGCAAACAAGAAAGTTG